CCAGCACGTCACATATGTGACGTCACCACATAATCTCTCCCCTAACTTAGCTGCTACTTACCAAATGGCCAGATTTATGGTGGTTCTTTCCTCCTGTGGGAAGTTCGCTGAACTTACAGCCATTTTCCCTCCGTTATCTGTGTCTGGTTCGATGACGTCACTGTCGTGAAGAACATTTGTAGTCCTGGACTTATTTTCACACAAAACCTAAAATAGCGTTTCCCCCTGCTTGAAAATAAGCACGTTCTTGGTATCAAAATGTGTCTTTAAAATTCACAGACATCATATGTGAAATCCACAAAGCAAGCGGAAGTAGAAAATAGTGTTTTTAGCCCCAATGACTTGCATTCATTTTTTTCGTTCTGGGGGAACCCATGGTCCGGAAGTAGATGGGTGCGACTTAGTCTCCCTATTATTATACTCATACTCATCGCTGCAAATGTCAGTCAACGAGGCAGTCCGCCATACTCAGTCAAAGAAAATGCAAATACAGCCTTTGTCTTAAAGAACTTAAGTACTTAAGTCAACATTGTTCAAAGCTGATGCCAAAATTGTTTCAAACGAACCGTCGCCCTCTTTGTTTTCTCGCTCTGTCGCAGTAACATCCCACCCGCCAAGAGTTCTGATTGGCCCAACAAAACAACAGAGCGCTGTGAATGGACTGCTGAAGCCATCACAGTATAAGTTTCGCTCACTTGCTCTAACATCCCATCCACCTGACTGATAGTGATGTGATTGGCCCACCAAACCAACCTGTAATTGGACCGCATCAGATGTCCGTGAATGGGGCAGTCCTCCATATATAGTCTAAGAAGATGCAAACCAAACCCAATGAGTGCTGTGATTGGACTGATGCCAGATGGCCAGGGCGGAGGTATCAATGGAGTGTGGTCTGACCATCCTTTTGCTTTGGCAAACTGATGGTCTAGATTCTAGGCTAGCTAACAGAGGTGTTTCCACATGAAGAAGGAACAAAGGCTGGACTTCATCAAAACCTTTGTATTTTGGAGAAAGTAACTCTTTTCTTAGGTCATTAGCACTTGAAACTTCTTCCAGTAAATGCTGAGAGGAAATTTTGCAGCACAGTGTGGAACTGGATAACTATATCCAATTGCATGTTGGTTCACACATGTCCTGAGAATGCAGTACAGATTTCTGAAACTTAATCAACTTTCATCAATTAAACTGAAACAAAGTCTGGATTACCTAATATAAATGAATAATTATTATTTGCATTGTCCATTACTGTCCATAATAATACTGCAACTAAAACAGTTAAAGCTATTAATATTTTCTTCCATTATTATCTTTTTTTATTTGTTTGTGAAGCAACTTGTGCTTGTGATTTTTATCTTGAGAGGAGCTTTATAAAAACAAAATGCATGGAGGAAATCTGTAGGTAGAAACAGCTTTTAAATGTATAAACAAAAAATGCCCAGTTTTCCCTGCATTACCAAGGCAGGCTGACTGCACGTTTTTCGAAGCCGTCTGATCGTTTTTCCTCACTAAAACGTCAGTTCTGTGAGAGATGCACGCCATCCGACACCTTAGCTTGTTTGAACCAACATGTGCCATCAGAAACATTCAAAGCATTTTTAAAAGAGAAGTTGAGCTTTCAAGTCAACTAAAGTGCGTGACTTCGCACTCGCGCTGATGAGGCATAAACCAAGCTTTAGAAATTAGCCTGAACCTGCTGATGTGGGAGGAGTCTCTCTCTCCCTTTACTCAACTACGTTCTCTCTCTCTCTCTATGTCCCTGGCTTACCTACGGTGCCATTGTTATCGGCTCTAGCAGCGCTGTGTGTGGAAACATAAAACAGGGAAAATAACCTGAACATGCAGCTCTGTCAGCTGTAGAGTTGGGCTTGGCTCTGGATGGTACCCCCCCCCCCACCCCCAAAAAAGTTCCCATCATAGTAATTGCTTCACTATTTACACCAATAAAGCAAACAGTTAAAATTATTTGTTCAAACTGATCCAAATATGAAGGACATGAAAAATAAATAAAATCATACAAAAAACATGCAAGATGAACTGATTAAATAGTTTCAATAAATGAAGATTTTACTAAAAAAGATTTAAAAATTTTAAAACCTAAAACACTAATAGTAATTATCCAGTTGTCAAAAAAGGACAGTAAAAAAAAACGTTAGGAATATATTTATTAAGATCAACATTACAGGTGCTCATATCTTCAATATGTTTATATACTCTGGGTGTGTACGGGAAGGAGTGATTAATTAAGTGGTGCCATTTTATTTAAACTGCTCCTGTGGTCAAAAATACTGAGAATTAATCAAATAGCTGCATAACTGTTGCTAGGTAGCGACAGGTGTTGAGAAATAACTTCAGGGTGTTAGCAGTTCCTTTTTTTTTTTTTGGTGCTGTCAGCTTTCCAAATGACACGTCAGATCCAATTTCTTTGTGATCCAACCACTGCTGAACATCAAATAGCCAATTCATAAAATAACAAATACTAGAGTATTTCATCTAGTCAGTTTGTTCGTTTGGTTAGTTCAAAAGTAATAAACTTTTATTAAAAAGTTGTCATGGAACTTTCCTTTTCCACTTTGCTAGATGGAATTTTCCAATTTGGTGTAAGAACAACAGTGGCTGCTCTTGGCAAAACTATAATCACCCCAGCTATAAAAGCAGGAAAGAAAGATTAACTCAAAACAAGGGATGAATGCTAACTTTTTTAGCATATATTGTTTTACTGACATATAGAAATGTGACTGCACATAGAAAGTCTGCTGCAAAGTTCAATGCATATCAACAAGCATCTTTAATTAATAAGCATGCACATTAAATTCGATGTGAACAAAGTGGAAACGTATCACTTTTATGCCAAAGAGCAGCACCACAGTAGATCAGAAAAGAAGAGCGAGCCTTACACTCTGTTCTGTGGTTCTAGCTGGTGCTTAACGGGTCTTTTCATGTTTTAGTGAAAGTAGGCTAAAAACCGCAGGTCTCAGACCACAGGACCACAGGCCCTGCAGGAACAGAATACCCCCTCCTGATTGGAGATCAGTTCTCGCCTGTCATCTTCTGGGCCTGATTCACGATTCTAAACTAGCACACCATTATGAAATTTTCCCTACTGTGACTTCTGGAAGAAACTAGAAAATTCAGCTACTGCTCAAAACAGGTGTCAGAAAACATCAACAAGACCTAGATCAGTTTTAAAATCTGGTGGAAATAAGTTGCTGCAATGATCTCTAACAGCTGCAAACTTGACACTTTAACTCTTTAGTAGTCCGATATGGATCTGACTGTCGTTTTACAGTTAACGCACCAAGAAGAGAGCAAATTTAAATGTGTCAAACCTTCACAGGATAAATGACACTGTGATGCACGGAGAGAAAACATTCACACGGTAAGGTGTTTCAGGTTCAAAATACTTTTACCTTGGCTTACTTGACTTGGAAGACTTGACTCACTGTTCTTACATTTCAACATCAAAAACTACAAAAACCGCCTTCTTCCAATTCTACCTGTTAGGCAAGTTTGTGTTATAAACCACATCTTCTACTGAATGTGGTAACTGAAAATACTTTACAACGTAAGGATCTTCAGAACACAAGAAACCCTGTCAAAGCAAATTAAATTAAACATTCAGCTAATTTAATTACTGACCAGGAAAAATGCTGGTTTTGTAAATGAGGAGCTGTAATGATTTATAGATTCAGAACTATACAAAACTGAGAAATAATTATAGTAGAAGAAAAACACTTTAAATAACATAACAGTTCAATAGAAGTTCCATTTATTTGCAGGAAATAAACTATTTTGGTGGTCTTGTAAGGAAAAAAAAGTTTGATGTTATTCTATTTACTTGTTTTGGAAATATGTTGAGGTTTATGCAAAGGATGACTAGTCCAAACTAAACTAATTCAGACTTCAGCCTGGCAGGACTTTCTATTTAATTTTTTTTAGCAATTTTACAATTTATTATTTATACTAAGATCTAGATATTTGAAGGCAAAATAAATAATAGACTATTAAAAAATATTCATAGTTAAATGGACCATATCATGCACTTTTTGGAGCTTTTGACCATGTTATATGTTTTATTTCCTCTTGAAAAACAACTTCAAAGCAGTTTTTGCTTCATACATGCATTTTCTTGTGTCAGCTGCAAATCCGCTGCATGTCTGCCCAGCGGCTGCAGACAGGTGGATAGGGCCGTTGCTACGTCATGCGTAGGGTTGTGCAATTTGTATGATTTTTTCCAACTGCCAATAGTCACTGTAACAAACGAGGATGGGTGATGCATTTACGCATGTGACTCTTCGAGCAACATGATGCACGGACTGATTTGCAAACACAGAAGAAGTTCAAACATGATATTCTTTATGGAAACGTGGCGCGTATGTTAAAGTTATTTTCCCCGTATGCTGTTTTATCGTTTCACTTGAATTATTGTTTTTCAAATATGGTTGCTTTTACTGTGAGTTTAAAAATGCCAAAAACATTTTTTTATGAATGTAATACATATTCTACCTACAATAGTTCCTCTGCATCAATGTGCCAACTCTTCAATTCTTGTGGTTTCTCTCTGTTCTTTGACCTATTTTTGTAGTGCACTCATCTTTTTTTAACTACAAACTCAGGTGTTTCCTTCTAAAATTAGAACCATTCATGGTTTCCTCTAGAGTATTTACCGTGATATAATGTGCAATGTGCCATGTGCATGTTTCAGTATCTATCCCATTACAGAATATACATTATAAATGCATACACGTTTGTTAAGTCTGTTTATTGAATATTTTAGAAAAGATCAGATTTTTTGCATAGTAGTAAAAAAGAAAATAATAGTTTTAGCTTTATTAACAATAATATGGCAGCTATCAAATATCTTACATTTAAATTTGATGTTTTTACTAATTTTATGTTTATTTCTGATATCCCTTTAACGCTCCCTCACCCCATCCCCCAACTCCTCAAAGAATATTCAAAAATGTATATTCGTAATTGATCATTAAGAAAATGCGACTTACTTCTCTGACAGTGATTTTGTGTCCAGCAGCGCTCGCTGAAGTGCCCATTGATGGTTGTCGCCTGGCAGGTGGTCTTCCCTACGGCCGCCCCTGGGCAGACATCACCGCACTCTCTGTCATTTTTGTTGGCCATGATATAGTTGTCCTCCACCGAGTCAAGGACCTTGGACCAGTCCAGTGTGGAAAGATAGCAGAGATCTGGGTTCTTCTCAATCCTCACAGCTCCCCTGGTGATATTCATCAAGCTATGGAGGCCGATCTCTCGCAGCTGGAGCATCTCAAACACCACCAAAGCGTAGTTGAAGAACAGGTTGTTGCCTCTGATGACCGTCAGGTTTGGGAACAGATTGCTGAGGCTCTCCAGGCCGTAAACTCTGAAGAGCAACAGGTAGTCAGTGACCACTCTCAGCTTGGGGAAACTGACGCCTCGGAAGTCCTCTGGCTTGGTCCTGAACATGAGTAAGATCTTCAGATGGCCTTCAATCACAGTACAGTTCTCAAGGGTCCGCAGGTTGGTCACATTATTCCGAATGTCCTTGCTGGGACAAACTGAGGAAAATGAGGAAAAACAAACATATTTTTAGACACTATCTCACTGTTTGTAACAGAAAACTGGTAAAATAAGGCTAAACCATATCTGTACATTTGTGGTTCACAGCTGCTGAACATGAGACACATTACACAAAATGGAAAATGATCAACATTTAGATAATTAGAGAGGATATATTGTTTATAAATATGTGGCTGTTTTTGAAGAAGAACAGACCAACTTCACTGACATTTTGTTTAGAAACTACATTTCTGGATGGGAGCTACTGTCAAATATGGAGCGCCGTCATCAGAGAGGATGTAATCATCCTTGGTTACACTGTGTTGTGGAGCTGCTTCTGCAACCAAACGCCATAAAAACATTAGCTAATGAATTAAAAATATGTGTCTGTGAAGGCAACTGTATCACTAATGGTCACGCGGTGCAACAGCAGCAGATTTGTAGCTTTGTCGGTCCTCACCCAGACACACAAATCCTGCTTGATGAGGATTCCTCATCTGTGTTCTTGCACAGTCGGGTTTCATTTTTCTGTCTCAGTCAGATCCAGCTGTACTGTTTTACAGTGACGCAATAAAAAACTTTAATACTAGATTTAACTTTATTGAAAATGGTTTATTTAGCCAACAAAAGCTGAGAAATTTAGATTTTAAGTGGCATTCTGCTTTTTTTTGTCTCAAACCTTTATGCCCGACATTAAATAATAATGCAGAAAAGGATGTTTTTGATCACTTTTGCTCCATTGTTTACATCACTGTCCCTATCAGAAAAACATAACGTGGGCGGCGGTGGCATAGGAGTTAAGAGCTCGCCCAGTAATTTGAAGGTTGCAGGTTTGAGCCCCCCTCAGTCTGTTGCTGTTGTGTCCTTGGGCAAGACACTTAACCCAACTTACCTGCTGGTGGTGTTCGGAAGGACCAGTGGTGCCTGTGTACGACAGACTCACCTCTGTCTGTGTGCAGCTGTGGCTACAATGTAGCTCATTACCACCAGGGTGTGAATGGGTGAATGACTGATTGTGTTGTAAAGCATCTTGGGGGGTTCCAAGACTCTAAATGGCACTATATCAAATACAGGTCATTTACCATAACAAGTTAGAGGTGAATTCTTTGCTATTTAACTTTCTTTGGAAAGAGTCAGCAAACTATGAACCAAAGGACCATAAAACAAGAAATCTAATATACTGGGCACAGCGTCAGTGATAAATAGAGGCTAACTAAGAAAATTAGAAGCCAAAAAGCAAAAAGAAAACAAATACTTAAATTAATATCATGCAGGTGTCTAAGTAAATATGGCTTTTTCATTACACATTGCCCCAAATCTACACTGGAGGCATCAGCGGTGCAGAACGGCAGCGGAACGTCGCTACTTCAAATAGAATTTACTATAATCCATAGGGTTGAGATTGCAGCGCAAAACATTTCAGGCATTTCCCAGAAGCAGCTCGCTGAGCCGCTCCGCTCAAGATAGGTTAGGTTATATTTTTTACCGCGAGCCACTTCTGGGACACGTAAATTTATGCAATTAACAGAGATAGATATGAAATCACACAAGGTTTCAGTGTAAAATGTCCAGTTATTGTCAAAATAAAATATTACTGCAGATAAGCGATTTCTTATCTATGTATATTACGTCAAAATATGTGACCTAACATGTTATGTACTGCATCTTTTGAAAAGTGCAACAGTGTGTTTTTCTTGGCTTTAAATCTTGCAGAGGCACAACATTACATAGGACATCAGCCAGCGATATCAAACGTTGACTTCCTCCTTCTTTTTCATTCAATGGCAGATGGCATAAACAAACCAGCTGAGTTGCTTTCCTGGTTTGGATTGACGCACAGTGAAACATGCGAGTAAACTGTCCCTCGCCGCTGATACCTCCAGTGTGAATTCATGGTTACAGTGTTTATGTATAAAGTGTGATCCAAAACAAATTTTTCTTTCTTGCAAATTTGTTTCTCCAAATAGCAACCAAGATTAGCAGCCCAATGAGAAATGAGAAAAACATCATCAGAATTTTTTTAAGGTTAGCTGCTCAAGTGAAGTTGCTTACTTAGGTGTTGTGCAAATAAGCATTTTTATGCCTAAACAACTATAAAATTTTACAGTTTTCTCCTCTTGAAGCAACTTTTGTCTCCGTAGTTTTCTCCTTCCCTGGTACAAACAAATATCAATGTGGTTTCTGTCCCAACTCAACAAACAATGCTGCCATTCAACTTCTGTTTTGAATTTATTCACTTCTCTTAGGATTATTTTCAAAAATCGGTTTGCCCGTGTCAGTCACGAGACCTGGCCATTGTGAACAGTATTATTAGGGTTCAACGTGTCACAACCACTGCAAAATATCACACAGTTTTTAGTTTGTTTAGAAAGCTTAATATTTTTGGCCTGGCACTGATAAGACACGGAAAACAGGTAATGCTGTAGAGGATCACGAAGGAAAAACAAATACTGAAGATTATCAGACATCAACAGGTCTTACAAGGTAGAAAGAAGGTTTAGAGAGGTGTTGATAAAAATAACTAAATGTAAGATTTTTTGCAGGTGTACACAATAATAGGAAAACTAATATTCCCTCAACTTTCTCTTTTTTTAAATCACTTGAGCATATGTTTTGTGTTACCAAACAACAACAACGATTCTAATAAAGGCCATTTCCTCTGCAGGTGCCATGTGGGACATTCCATACTCAGTTTTCCAGTTCACAAGTCATGAACACAGCTGGAGGTGTGTGGCCTGGTGAGGGGACTAATGTGTTTACTGTCTAGCCCACCATTACAACGGGGGCCATCCAGCCAGCCATGTGGAGAGGGGGGCAGAACAACCAAAAGTGTGCCTCATTATGGCAGCAACTCATAACATAACACTAGCACACACTGCCTGGCAGTGAAAGTTTGAACTCAAGCACCTCCCTTCATGACCTCAACCAGAGAGCTCAGTCTGCTGCAATTATGTCGAGTTCAACCTACAACTTCAAGGCTTGTTTCTAAACACTTAAAGATCTTAGCAGTTTATAATTATCCAAAGCAGCTCAGCACATTAAAAAGTACAGATTTGCTCTTTTAACATAACATACATTGTTTGTTAAGAGTGTACTTTAATCCTATTGAGTATTATTATTTTATTTTGAGGTAAAACTAACAGTATTTGTCAGGAACTCAACAGTAAATACACTCCGTCCAATAACCACCATTCGGAACCTCAAAAGAGGTTTTCTTTCTCAAGTGGAAAAGACGAATCATCGCAGGGCGGCGAGTCCATGCTTCTATCAGTGTACACTTTCAGCCAGGCCAGTATTTTTAGCAGCACATTCCCAATAGAGAATCTAATACACACCAGTCGTACCGATAGTGGCTCACACTGGAACATAGCAGTCTTGGTGTGTAAGTGAGGAATTTCGGAGCAGCAGCAGTAGAAACGCTGTGCGAGCTGCCTCTCTGACTTGTGAACTAAATTTTGGCAGAAGAAAGAATTTAAGAAACAGAACTCAGCCCCGTGACGACATGACACAACTTGAGCAAAACAAACCAGGTGCCCCCCCAATTCTGAAAGCTCTCTGCATTGCTGTAAAGAAAAATCTGGGAGACATTACAAAGGTTTCTATGGTGACGAGGCAAGCTCCAGGTCTCCATACATTTTCTATTGTAGCTGTAAACAGCCAAGGGGCTCTGAATAATTGATTTGTGCCATTAGAGGAGAAGATCTTTAACTCAGGTGGTTGTGTGCACACCATAAATAATTTTCTCCTCATTTTTTAACAACAAAAAAAAAATCTTGAAATTGACCAAATTGACCCACGTGCTTAGCTTAATTGTAATTTGGTCAATATGTGTTAATAAAAATTCTGACATTTCTCTCGATCCATGAACTCACCATCACTTATTCCTACCATTAATAATAGTTTTCATCTTAATTCAGAGTTTAGTGAACATTCATGCAATTTTTATTACGTTGCAAAGGAAATAATAATGTGATTTTATATTGAACAGTTAGTGTGGTCTATGACTTTCTTTGTTGAAAAAGTCAAGTATTTCTTGGCTTCAGACTCTCTAGTTTGGGAAAATTATAATAATTTGTGGTAACTTTTGAGTTTTGGACTTTTGAATAAATTCACAGAGTACTATTTAATAAAATTATGGGTGTACTTAACCCTGTTTGAACTTATAATACTATGTTAAAATGTACTGTCAAAATCCAAACTTGTGTTATGTCAGTTTGATCGGCAGTCTAAAACACAAAGACAGCTGGATTACTTTTATGTTACAACAATATTAAGAAAAGCAATCCAAATGACAATCATTTCTGTTTTAAAACGGATTACTTTTAATTAATTTTCCCTTATCAACTCCCAGATTTATCGCTCTGACACAGAACTGCTTTCAGATTCAGAGGGTGACGTTCGAAGGTGGTCTGTTTCACATTTATCTAGCCACAATCACAGTCAATGAGCCATAAAGGAAATCCATGGCGCTTGATTACATTAGAGAAGCGGGGTGAGGTAAAATCCACCGACAAGATCTGACAGCTGACCTCCATGACCCAATCTATGAAAGCTTTACGTCAGAATTCTGCACAATAATCCAGGAAAGCTGCTAAATTTGCCGCAGCAGATGTTAAAGTCTTCATTGTAAACCCAGAGTTCTTCATGCAAAAGCATCACATAAATCAGGTTAAAAGATAAATAGAAATTATATTGATATGTACTTGTGCTGAAGAGAAATACTGTGATTATGTGTTCCAGTCGGCTCTTGAAAGGCTGAGCGAGACGGTCCGTCCACTTTGAAGCGAGCAGCACAAACCCACATACTCTCACTACATCTGCAAGCATCAACAAGCCCTGGCGATTTCTGATCTAGAGATGTTAAGTGGATGTGGATGGAGGGGCTGAGGGTTGTTAAGTGTGTTGGTGTATATTTGTAGAGAAGTGGGGCCTCAGTACACACACAGGAACACCAACACACTGTGATTGCAACACTTCCCTTTTCATGGTTTTGCAGCGC